GCAGGCCAGAGGTGGCGACTCCTTCCAAGCCCACAGATCCAGGCACAAAACCAGCAAAGCGTCACCCTGCCGCCCACCCCACCCCATCCTCACTGTGGCTCGGAAGAGGCAAGTGCTCTAGAAACACGGACAGGCAGCGGAATCCCACCTCTCCCCTCTGGGGACCGTCAGACTCAGTGCCCCCGGCCAGCTCGGAGTCTGATCAGCCACCCTCAGACCCAGGAACCAGAATAACCCGTTTCCTAACTGCCCCTGACGGGGCTGTGGGACCTTGAACACAAACCTCTCCAAGCCTCAGTTTCCCCATCTGTAAAATATAGCAGGAGATGCCTGCCTGGCCAGTCCTGCACTGTTGGAACAAGGGAGTAGACTAGGAAACACGTTCTCTGGTCACGGACCTGGTGGGGAGGGGCCGCCCAGGCTCCGCAGGTGGGAGTCCCCCAGGTACGCTTGGCTACTGTTGGAATCGGGTTTGTCACTCCCTGACTGCTGATTGATGGCACAAGTGACAGGGAGGGGGAGGAACACGCCTGCAGGCGTTCTTGTCCCCACACATGGTTTCCAGTCCCCTTGGCACACGTGAACTTGACACAGGCCCTGCCTTGGCCACCCCAGCGTCCCCAGCTCTTGCTGGCCCCATGCCTCACCCTGCGTGTTCTGGCAGGGTGAGTCTCTGGGCGGAATCACTAGGAGACGCGTTCTCCGACTGCACACGGGGTCAGAGGGGGTCTGTCCAGGATCTGCCCCCGAAGGAACCCGCTGTGTCCACTGGGAGTGGCTTCTACCCCGAGGTGTGCTGGGCTAAGCAGAGGCTGGGCCCCAGGTGCAAGAGGGGGCCCAGACAGCCAAGCCCGAGAAACAGGAATGAGCAGAGCTTGGCGCTGCGCCTACCTGGGGTGTAGCCGGGGTGCAGCTCGCGAGAGTGCAGAGGGCTTGGGAGGGGGTGGGGGTGACGACAGGGAGGGCAGCATCTCCATGATGATGGCCAGGGGATAAGGCGGGTACAGTGGCTTCCGTGTGCCCGTCTCATCACCATGAGCCCTGAGGCGAGGACGGCCAGCACCCCCAGAACACCCCGAGGTGCAGAGACGTGCACCGGCTCGCCCCCAGGGGGGCACAGGGGCGTTCTGACCCAGGCTGTCCCCCCACCCCACCCCCGTGCCTGTCCTGACTCCGCGGGGGACAGCAGAACAGATCGCTCAGAGCCGGCCAAAGACCCGAAGACCACTGGGGCTGTGAAAAGGATCCTGGGGGACCAGGACCCCCCCGGCCGCCCCAGGACCCGATCCCACTCCCTCCCGCTTCCTTCCGCTCCCCCGCCTGCTGCCCTCCTGGCCTCCTTCCTCCCCGGTATCGTAGGCACCACCACTCCTGAGGAGGCTCTAAATGTGGCCCGGGCAGCCAGGGAGGCCAGAGGGAGGGGGCGGAGAGGCCTGGGCCGGCGTCCCAGCCCCCACCTGGGCACCCGCGGGGCCGGGACCGGCGACACTGACCTGCTCGGCCTCCCAAACGCTTCAGCTATTTCCCGTCCCCTCTCCTCTTGACGCGCGGAGTGACAGCCGGGGAGGAGGTGCGGAGGTGCGATTTTCCTCTAGGAATTTGTATGTATATATATATTTTTTTAAAGTAAGCGAACCTGGAAAAGCTTGGGACAAGCCCAGCTAATTTTAGTTTCTAATGAAAACAGCAGGTGGCTGAGAGGATCTGATCTCCTGGCAGGCAGGGCCAGGCTCTCCAGCCTTGCAGGCTTGCAGGCGCGGGGCCGTGCGGGGAGGGCCGGCTGGGAGGAGCCTCGAGGACCTGTGGCCCCGTGGAGAAGAAGGGCACGAGCTGGCTGGCTGCTGGGGTAACCCGATCGACGGCACAGCCGTGGCTGCGGTCCGGGGTGGCCAGGGCAGCAGGTGGCAAATTGCTAGGCCAGGGCTCGGCTGCAGCCGCCGCCACCGTAGCAGGGAGAAGCCTGAAGTGGGGCAGTGTGGTCAGGCCTGGAGAAGGAGCAGGAGTGGTGGGCAAGGCCCCTGTGGGCCGGCAGCAGCCAACACCCACCTTGCCCTGGCTCTCTGCCTCCCCCGGGAATGACCTGTGCTGTGGGTATTTGAGGCCGGCCCAGCTCCAGGATCAGCAAGGGGCATGCATTTCTCTGGGTGTGGGGGGGGGGGGCGGAGTTGGGCCACCTTAGGGCACTAGGAACCCAGCCTCCAGGACTGGCTGGGCCCAGCCCAGTGGGTCTCCAAGCCCTTGGCAGTTCCCCTTGTCTCCCTACACCGCGGCGAGCAGAGGGGCTTCCTCAGGACAGAGCCGTCCGTCCCTGCCGTGAGCATTTGCTGAACACCTTTCTATGCACTGAGCCCCGTGCAAGGCGCCGGGGGTGCCACGAGCCAGGTGTGACATCCAGGCTGCTGTCGGCTCTCCCTGCCGCCATCCACAGTGCATGCCGGGGCCAGGGAGCTGAGGGCCAGAGCAGGGCTGCCACCCCAGCTCGCTCTGGGGGAGTCGCCTCACCCCCCTGGGCCTCGGCTTGCTCATCTATGACGCGGGGCCAGGCACGCACCGGAAGCCAGGAGCAGCAAGAGAGGCAGTGCAGGCCAAGCCTGTGTCGCCTGCTGTCCTGCCTCCCCCAGCCTGCACCAGCTCCGTCTGCAGCTGGTAAGCCCCTGGGGTCTGGGAGGGCAGGGGTGGGCCAGGCCACACGTGCATGGAAGGGGACAGCTGCCATGCCAAGTGAAGGCAGGGGCTGGGACGGGCACTGGTGCCCGCCGGAAGAGGTTTCTCAGTTTCTTCCTGGACGTGGTCCCAGTGACTCATAGCCGTGGCAGCCCAGCGGCTCGCCCTAAGGCTCCGCACTGTCATTTCAGCTCCCCTCGGAGGCTGCTGAGCCCAGGGGAGGGCGGGCGGCTCCGCCGGCCCACCTCACTGCTGGATCAATGGTGGGGGTGCCACCAACAGCTTGGCCGGGGGCCTGCCGGCCTCGGAAGCCCGGACACCCCACTGTGCATCCCTCCCTCGGAAGGATGCCCGCCTTGTGTGCAGACCCACAAGGAGGTGAGCTTGGAGACTGGGGGAGGGGGCCTTGCCAAGGTCACCGTCGGCTGGGGGCTCTGCCAGGCCTGCCCAGCCCGCTCCCCCGTCCCTCACCAAGGCCAGCGCCCAGCATGGCCTGACCTCGGCTGGATAGAGGGAGCAGAATCCGAGCTGGGGACGGGCCAGCTCTGTGTCCCCTCGCCACAGAGGGAACGGGGCTGGGCAGGAAAGGATCCCATGTCAGGCTCAACCCCCGTCCCCTCACTGAGGGACACCTGTGACCTCCCCAGCATGGACCTGGCCCTCCGCCAGTAGCTGGGCTCTTGGCGCCCCCTGCAGGCCATGGGTGACAGATGGGACTGGCTCCAGAGGAGACCCCTTCCCATGCTGGGCTGAGGCCTCAGGGCCAGCCCACCCAGAATCCTCTGGGCAGGACCTGGGAGAGAAGAAAAAGGAAGAACCAGGGAGCCCCTGGGGGACCAGGGCGCGAGGACTGCGCCACCCTGAGAGCGGCCAGCCCATCTCCCACCAGCCCTGCCAGGGAGGGGAGGAGCCTCACAGCGCCCTGGGCCCTGGGCCCTCACGGTGACGGCACAGCGGCCCTCGCAGGGAGCGTCCCTGAGTCTCTGCCCCTGAGTCCAGGGTCCCTCGGGCTCAGCGGGAACCCTCGCCCATGCTAGTGGCTTCAGACGCCCACCAAACCCCAGCTGGAGCACAGCCCAGGCACCTGTGCTGCCCACAAACCTGCCAAGGTTTCCCCTGCACAGCCAGACTCGGAACCGGTGCGGGGGTCGGGGAGGGTCCGCTGCCGCTCGCCCGCCTCCAGGGTGGGGAGGCGGCTGCTGGCCGCTCGTGCGTGGGTCAGCATCCTTAGGTTCAGCAAGGCCAGCTCCCAGCCCTGGAGCCACACAACGGGACACTGGTGCTACCAAAGACTGGGAGGTCATTCATTCATTCCTTGGCTCAGCAAGCAAGCGGTGGGTCCCGGCTCATTGCTGCACACTCTTGGACACACAGACCCCCTTCTGCTCCTAGCTGTGGGCAGTAAGAGTGATTCCTTCCCAGGTGCTTGGTGAGAACACGGGGAGAGCAGGGACCTTCCCCACACTGTCAGACAGGAAGTGTGTGCAGCTTCACCCCCCCACACACACACCCAGAAAGCCCCATGTTTAGGGAAAGCCACTGGGGAGGGGGGGTGGGGGGCGGCGGGGAGGGTGCAGCTCCCTGCAGAGGCCCGGGCAGCAGGACATGTGCTTTTCTGCCCAGGACCCCCAGCTGGTGGAGCTAGGGCTGCAGGTGGAGCCGAGGCCTGCACTTCCTCCCGCGAGGCCACAGGAAAACCGTCTTGCTCACCTCTGGGTGTTCCACTAGGAAACGAGGGGTCTGGACCACACCGGCTGTTGGAGAACATTCTGGGAGTGTGTTTCCCCGCACCCCGCTGCTCCATCAAGACCCTGGATGGCAGCCCCCCCCACCACCACCACCAGATGCACCTCCCCTGGACAGATGGGAAAGGGACATCTTCCAGAGTCACCACGCAGCTCTCCTCCTGGGCAGGTTGCTGCCTGCGCCCCTACTATGCACACTTGGCCTTGACTGGGGATGCTGGGGCAGGTTAAGAGGCAGTGGTTAGAACGCAGGCTGCTGGGTCGTCTGGACCTGGGCTGTAACCCCAGTCTGCACCTGCAAGCTGGGGACTGTGGGTGTCACTCCTCTCTGAACAGTACCCAGCACTTAGTAACTGCTCAGCTAATGCAAGCGCCCCTTCCCTCAAGAGGGGGGTCTCTCAGCTCTGCAGGGCAGCTCTTCCACCCTCAGTGGGAGAGCCAGGCAGGAGGGTGCCTCACCCTCGCCTGGGGGAAGTCAACAGCCCGGGGGAGCAGCAGAGACCCGGATGGGGGCGTGGCCTCACCCTGGCGTGGACAGAGGAGGGGCCGGGGTTCCAGCGGGCTCAGCATCCTGTTCTGCCCCCTCCCCAGGTACCTGGCCAAGCTGTCGTCGGTGGGGAGCATCTCCGAGGAGGAGACGTGCGAGAAGCTCAAGGGCCTGATCCAGCGGCAGGTGCAGATGTGCAAGCGCAACCTGGAGGTGATGGACTCGGTGCGCCGCGGCGCGCAGCTGGCCATCGAGGAGTGCCAGTACCAGTTCCGGAACCGGCGCTGGAACTGCTCCACGCTCGACTCCCTGCCCGTCTTCGGCAAGGTGGTGACGCAAGGTGAGGAAGGGTGCGCGCGCCTGTGTGCGCCGGGCTGCGGGGGAGTGACGGGAAGAATGCGGAGCTGCGAGGGCGCCGGCGTGGGGTGGGCCTGCGGTGCGAGACAAGACTCCGGCAGGGGCTGTGGGAGGGCGCTGCTCCCTGCGGTCGGTTTCGGGGGAAGCCGAGGGTGGACAGGGGCTGCTCCCCCCATTTTAAGGAGGAAGAAGGCGAGGGGACAGGCCTGTGTGGCCCGAGGCTCCTGAGAGGGTGAGGAAGAATCAGGTCCAGGCCTGGGTCTCCCAGCCCCCAACCCGGTGCTCCCCCACCTCAGGCCGCCCCCCCCGTGGACTCCCAGCCGCCACACAGGGGCACAAGTGGCTCACTCACCTGCAGCCCCAAGCCCGGCCCAGACCACCCTGTACGCTTGCTCAGGGTCACAGAACCAGAAAGTGGCAGAGCCGGGGCCTGGGGCCAGGCAGTGCCGCCCCAGGGTCTGTGCTGTCACCCACGCGGGACACAAAGATGGACGCGCTCCCCGGTCAGGCCTGGGGTGCCCAGGGAAGGCTCTCTCGGGGAGGTGGGCCCTGGGCCAGGATCCGGAGGCCAGAAGGCAGGGAGCCAAGGGGAAGGAGCCAGGGCACGGAGAACCATCGATGGAGCTGGAAGGCGCCTCAGGAGGTCAGCGGGTCGAGCCCTGCCCTCGAGGAAGTGCTCAGAGCCGGCAGCCTCCCTGTCTACTTCCTGAGCGTGAAACTGACACTCCGGAGTCACCAAGAGTCACGGGGGCCCTCGGGAAGCAGGAAGGGGCTGCCCGGCCACCCCGCGTCTTGGCACCTGTGGCCCTGGACAGCCAGGGCTGCGGGCTTGCGGCAGGCCATTTGGACGTTGCTGGAAACCACCTGTGATAGAAATTTGGAAGCCATTCTCCTGGGAGCTGGCAAGGGCCACCAAGGCTCGAGCGCACTTGGCATTGCTGAACATGGCTGCTCTTGCAAAGGAACAGAGACCCAGGGAGCAGCCTGGGGCGGGGGATGATGGTGCCCCGGCCCAGAGCCCAGGGCTGCCTGGGTGAGGAGGCTTCAGAATCAAACCCCGGCTCGGGAAGCCCTCTGCACACACAGCAGGTGTTTGGAAAGTGTTTCAGGCGAAGTGGGGGGGGGGGGGGGGGGGCAGCAAGATTCCCTATGCCAGGCCCTGCCACACCCCTGGGCCTTTGCACATGCTGTTTCCCCAGAGACCCCAACCCCTCCCAGACCAGCTCAGCTGTTCCTTCCACCTCCACGCCTCCCAGCCTCCCTCTGGGCTCCAAAGCTCTGTTCTTACTGGGAGAGGATGGTCCTCTTTTGGGTACAAACTCAAGATAGTTACAAGGGCTCCCTGTAGGCTCTGACTAGATGCACAGGTGTGTGCACCTTCCTCTGCTGGCCACACTGTTCTCTCTCCAGAGACAGATACGCAGGCACCCACGGATCCGTCTCAGCCGTGTGTGTCCACACACCAGTGAGAAGCACCTTCCCAGATGCCGGGCACGAGCCAGGAGGGGGACCTCACATGGTTCTGGGGACACCGGGAGTCCGGCCAGGCTGGGCCAAGCTGCTCCAGGTTTGGTCTGAGCCTCTTGGCCAAGCGTTTAGTCAGGCCTGCAGGGCTGAGCTCCTCCCACTCGTGCACCTGCACACATCCGTGTTTTGTGTGTGTGTATGTGTGTTTAAGATTTTATTTATTTGAGAGAGTTATAGAGAGGCAGAGGCAGAGAGAAAGAGGTCTTGCATCTGCTGGTTTACTCCCCAGATGGCCGCAACAGCCCAGAGCTGGGCCACTCTGAAGCCAGGAGCCAGGAGCTTCTTCCGGGTCTCCCATGTGGGTGCAGGGGCCCAAGCACTTGGGCCATCTTCTACTGCTTTCCCAGGCCATAGCAGAGAGCTGGATCGGAAGTGGAGCAGCCGGGGGTAGAACCGGCGCCCATATGGGATGCCGGTGCCACAGGTGGAGGATTAACCTACTGTGCCACAGCGCTAGCCCCCACACATCTGTGTTTCAACAATTTTTTAAGAAGATTTATTTATTTGAAAGGCAGAGTTAGAGAGAGGGAGAAGGGTAGGGAGAGAGAGAGAGAGAGAACTTCTGTCTACTGCTTCACTCCCCAAGTGGCCACAACCGCCGGGGCTGGTCCAGGAACGCCAGCTGGGTCTCCCAAGTGGGTGACCAGGCTCAAGGCCCAAGTGCTGAGCCATCACTGCTGCCTTCCCAGGCGCACGAGCAGGGAGTTGGATCACAGCTGGCAATCCACCAGGGGATGCAGGCATCGCAGGCGGCAGCTTAACCCGCGTCACATCACCAGCCCCTCCTTGGAGAATTCAGCTGTCTCCACTGGGCAAGTAAGGGGCGGGAAGCGTCCATCCCGGCTTCTGAGAGCAGAGCGTTGGCCCTCAGAAGCCCCGGGCTTGGGTGATGAGGCTGATGGAGGGACAGCACGCGCAAGCGCAGCCTGGGGCAGTGCCCGCGCTCTGTGAGGTGTCCCCGCCCCCAGCCCCATCACGGAGAGGGGCTCACAAAGATGCAGTGACACGGGAGGCCCTGAAGAGACCCCTCCCCACCTGCTATTGCTATCTGCGGTCTGGGAGCCTCCTGCCCCCCACCGTCCAGGCATGGGGGCCTGGCTGCTGTACACACACACACACACACACACACAGTACAGCCACCTGTGTCTGGGATGTGGGGCGGGCCGGCTGGTGGGAGCTCCTGCAGTCTCAGGCAGTCCATGCTGGGAAGGGGTACGGGGACGTGCAAGGCTCTGGCCTGTGGGGGCGGCACAGCGGTCCCCGTGCCAGTGAGGGGACAAGGCTCAGAGAGGAAGGGCACACCACTGGTGAGTCCAGCGTGGCCCCGTCTGGCCCTACCCGGTTCTGGAGGTGACTTTTAGAAAAGCGAGGCCTCTGCAGACTGGAGGAGAGAGGATGCTGTACAGCCAGGCCGGGGGCAGAAGCAGGGGCTGGGCGACAGGGTTCCTCCCAGGGACCAGCTCCCACCGGCTCCGCTGCCTTGGGTCTCCCACTGGGTCCGCTGGGGAAACGCTCGTGTTGTGCCCATTCCCTGACCCCTGCCCTGTGCCCAGGGGGCCCCTGTGCCCAGATCCAGCCTGACTCGGCCTCAGCCGGGTCTGCACCACACTCCTCCCTGCGCCAGTGTCCTGCCTTCCAGCGTCTGGGAGAGTCAGCGCCCACTGAGCCAGGGCTGAGCAAGGACCCCCTTCCTCCTGCAGCTAGAGCGGACCCCTCGAACAGGGGGCCGTAGCCACCATCTGCTGGGGAGCGCCCTGCGGCTGCACGCCCTGGCCCGACCACAGCCCTGTCTCTGTGCCTGAGCAGCCCTGAGAGGCCCTCCACTGGCGAGCAAGGGTCTGCCCTGGGCACCTGGGCAGCTGGGGGCTGAAGCCAGGCCTGTCAGACAGGGTTTTAGGTGCTAGATGTGTGGGCTGTTGTGCAGAGCCCAGCGGCCCAGTGCCCACCCTCAGGAACTGGCTCCCACCACACGGAACACTTAGGGGAGACCTAGGGAAGTCGTCGCCAGTGCACAGTGGGAGGCAGGAGATCCACTGAGGGCGCAGTCCCAGGGGCTCAGGCCAGCGGGAAGCAGGCAGAACACGGTACAGAGCCGAAGCCAGGCTGCTTGAGTTCAAGTTCCAGCTCCACCACTTCCTGGCGGGGTACTGGCGGGCACACGGATCCACCGCTCGGTGCCTCAGTCTCCCCATCTGTAAAATGGGGGTTAGAGCCATCTGCGCCGCAGAGCTGTGAGCAGCACACCACTGCAGATAGGTAGTGCTTGGCACCCAGAGCACGCAGCTTTAGCTCTTACTGTTGAGGGGCCTTCAGAGTTCATGAACAGTGCAATTAAAAGATAAGTCAATTTCGGTGCAAAAAACCATTTGAAGCCCATGCATTTTTCCCCCATAACGTGCATTTGCTACGAATTCTTTGAGGCCTCCTCTTTTCCTTCCAGAATCTTCTTCCAGCTGAGGAAACTAGTGGCCTTGTCCTCCTGCAGCCCAGTGGATGGATGTTGGCTTGGGGAAGCAGGCAGAGGGCTCCCTGCGCCCCAGGGACCCCTGGCACTCAGGGGCCAAGGTCAGCCCAGAGCTGGAGCCGGGCTGGGGCTGGCCAGGAGTCAGGAGAGGCAGAGAAGGGACTAGGTTGGGAGCTGAGGCCACCGCCATTCCATCAGCCCTAGCTCCTGCCTCCCCTGCCCTCCCCCCTTGGTCTTTGGGGCAAAGATTTGTGCTGGTTCAGGCCTGGAAATACCAGAAATACCAGAAACTGAAGTCGTCTCTCTTTGGGCGGCCACAGCATAAAACCAACCAACATGATCCTGCTATTAACCTCGATTAACTTGGAGAAGATTCTGTCTCGGGCTGTCGAGGCTCCATTGCTCCGGCCAAGCCCCCCAACGCTGGCCCACCACGGCCAAGCCAGGGCAGGGCCTGGGCAGCGGAGCGCGGGTGGTGGGCAGTGTCCCCAGCTAAGGGCCCAACCCAGAACAGGGCGTCCTGCGTGGTCGGGGGCCGCGCGGCCCCCCACCCTGCGCTGGGCTTCTCCGGCTCTGTCCACAGACACCGGCACAGAGGCGGTGATTGTCTGCTCTGACCACGGGGACTGCTCCCCAGGGCAGCCGGGAGCACAGGCCTGGGTGTCACACAGGTAGCTGCCAACCGCGGGGCCGAAGCCTGCCCGCTCGGCTCCTGCGGACACAGAGCCCGCGGCGGCAGACAGAAGGACAGTCATGGCACACAGAGGCCCTCACAGGGCCAGGAGAGGAGCAGGACCTGCTGTCTGCCCCCACCTCCCCCTGGAGACTCCACAACAGCTACGCCCCCGAGGCCCCTTCCTGGGAGGGTGAAAACGTCCATTCAGGCAGGGAGGAGGCGGGCCCCAGACCAGAATGGTGGGGAAGTCGGGGCACACGCAGGGGCACACAGGCTCAGGCCCGAGGCCCCGCCTGTCCCTTCCTGGCTGGGTGACGGGGTCCAAGCCCGTCCCCTCTCGGAGCCTGCGGTTCACCTGTAAACTGGGGACAGACGAGGCTCCAGGGGCGGGACAGGCAGCCCCCAAATCAGCACAGGGCAGGGGCCGTCTGAGGCTTTACTGTCCACGTGCTGAGTTACAAGGAGCAGCGGGACCAGCCCCAGGAGGAAGGGGCCAGGCAGGATCGAAAGGAGCGGAGCCACTCTCTGCGAGCCCAGCAGGGCCAGCTGGGTCGGAATGGGAGGAAAAGGGGTCCAGCTCTGCCAGGTCACGGCTTTGCAGTACGCGTCAGGTGACCTCTCACAGTCTGTCTGGTTTACCTAAACTGTGTGACTTAACGAGTTTCTGGAGAAGCAGGGCTGTGCCAACTCAGCCACGTGCTGTGTGACCTGACAAGCCGCCTAACCTCTCTGTGCGGCGGGGATAATCAGTCCTCGGCTTGCAGCACCCCTGTGAGGGTGAGAGGATCCGCTTGTGCCTGCCAGACTCGGCTGCCAGCTCAGAGTCCAGCACACAGGGCTCTGGGGTGTCGGCCGGCCCTGCCCAGCCCCCCGCCAAGCAGCCGTGCTCTCCCCACTCCCACAGGGACTCGGGAGGCGGCCTTCGTGTACGCAGTGTCCTCTGCAGGGGTGGCCTTCGCGGTGACACGGGCGTGCAGCAGCGGGGAGCTGGAGAAGTGCGGCTGTGACCGCACGGTGCACGGGGTCAGCCCCCAGGGTAAGCTCGGGCCGCGGGCCACGCGGGAGGGCGGGGCCGAGCCCGGGCCCAGCTCACGGCGACCTCTCTCTGCCCGCCGCGCCCCAGGCTTCCAGTGGTCGGGATGCTCGGACAACATCGCCTACGGCGTGGCCTTCTCGCAGTCCTTCGTGGACGTGCGGGAGAGGAGCAAGGGTGCCTCGTCCAGCCGGGCGCTCATGAACCTCCATAACAACGAGGCCGGCAGAAAGGTAGGCGAGAGCCTGGCGGGGGCCTGGGCGCCAACCTCCCGCCGGAGACCACCATGCAGGCCCGCGCCAGCCCGGGTGCCTGGAGTGCACCGGCACAGTGCAGACCAGGCTGGGCGGGGAGTAGACGGGGCGGGGGGAGGGGGGAGGGCAGGTACACAGCCAGCAGTGCCGCCCTCCGTCCATGCCTGCACCCACCCTCTGTGACACGCAGCAGAGCGAGGTGCTGACCCCTTCCTGTGCTAACCATGACACCCTCTGCTTCCCGCCACCCACTCCCCAGCTCCCTGGGGGGAGAACTCCCCTGGGACCACCTGTCACTCCATTTCTCTAGTCTCTCTTGCATCAGCTCCAAGTGCCCCAGGCTCAGGGACAGCATCTGGTCCCTGTGGCCCATGCATGGCATCCAGTAGGCGCTTACTGTGGGGGAAGCGTGACAGGGAGTCCCCTCTGACTCGGTGGTATCCCCACCTTCCTTGCTCCCGTCCCCGGCGTCTCCTGACGGCCGCCTCTGTCCCGTCCCCCAGGCCATCCTGTCACACATGCGGGTGGAGTGCAAGTGCCACGGGGTGTCGGGCTCCTGCGAGGTGAAGACGTGCTGGCGGGCGGTGCCGCCCTTCCGCCAGGTGGGCCACGCGCTGAAGGAGAAGTTCGACGGCGCCACCGAGGTGGAGCCACGCCGGGTGGGCTCCTCCAGGGCCCTGGTGCCGCGCAACGCGCAGTTCAAGCCGCACACGGACGAGGACCTGGTGTACCTGGAGCCCAGCCCGGACTTCTGCGAGCAGGACTTACGCAGCGGCGTGCTGGGCACGAGGGGCCGCACCTGCAACAAGACGTCCAAGGCCATCGACGGCTGCGAGCTGCTGTGCTGCGGCCGCGGCTTCCACACGGCGCAGGTGGAGCTGGCGGAACGCTGCAGCTGCAAATTCCACTGGTGCTGCTTCGTCAAGTGCCGCCAGTGCCAGCGGCTGGTGGAGCTGCACACGTGCCGGTGACTGCCGCCGGCCCAGTGCCCGGGAAGGCCAGTAATTTAAACAGTGTCCCACCAGCTACCCCAAGAGATACTGGTTGTATTTTTGTTTTGGTTTGGTTTTTGGGTCCTCATGTTATTTATTGCCGAGATGAGGCAGGCAACCCCAAGGGCACCGACTGGGGCCTCCCCAAAGCCTGAGCCTTCGTGGCTGCCGCTGACCAAAGGGACCGTGTTCGTGCCCCTGGCTGTCCACACATGGCCGCTGCTGACCACTCGGTTACCTGTGTCCGCCTGGCTCCTTGCAGACTGAAGGTGGCTAACACGGAGTGCACCAGCCCTGCCCGCCAGTGGGGAGGACAGGCCCCCTCCTGCCTGGAAGAGGGCTCACGACTGTCCACCCCACACTGGCATGGAGAGCCCTGGAAAGGGAACGGCGGATGGCAGGTCAAGGGCGGCGGGTCACTTGAGCCCTCACCTGAGCACCTGTCTAATCTCCGTGGGACCTTCCAGCAAGCTAGAGCAGGCGGGATGAGGGCGGGAGAAGGCCACAGCCCCTGCTCGGACGCCAGCCTGTCCCAGCTGCCCCTTGGGAGGGGACAATGCCAACCTCCCCTTCCAGTCCTTCTCGACAGGAGCGTGGGCTGCCATCCTGGCTCAGAGCACAGCAGCCACAGCCCTAAGTCACCGCCTCACGGTGACTCTGGGAGGGAACACACACACACACACACACATGCACACGCACAGAGGGAAGGGCTGTACAAAAGTCCTGTCCCATGATGTCACTCATTTCATACAACTCACTGAGCACCATCCGTGCCATGTCCCCTGGTGATCACAACAGTCTGAAGGCAGACGAAACAGGGGTGAGTGCTTCTCTTCCAGCAGTGGGGGCAGTGCAGGCCGGGCCCCAGCAGCTGAGTGGAGAGCCGCAGACACCCCCTACTCAGAGGCGGGCACTGCAGGTCTCCGTGGGGCCGGGCTTTGGGGAGGGGACTCCAGCTGGAGGAAAGGGGGCAGGGAAGCAGCAGGAGCCAGAGACCACAGGATGAGCTGGCCATGCTGTTCCAGAGGGTGGAACAGGCTTGGAGGGAAGAGGGGAACAGCTGGAAGGCTGGTGAGGCCTCAGCCGCTGAGGACGCCCTCATACTGGAACCTGTAGGCCGCCGAGGCCTGGGGCACCATGGGGACTGCCAGACTCCAAGTCCAGGCCTGACACTGAATATCATCGGGAGCCCCAGCTTTCCCAAGCAAGACTGGCCCTGGACCCAGCTGCTTCTCAGCTGGACTCCCAACCACCAGAGGAATCTCCCATCAGCAGTCACCAAGTGGCCCCACGCTGGGGCCCCAGGCTCCAGGTTGATGGTCTGCCGTCCGGACCCCCCCAGGGGTTCCAGACTCCAAGCTCTTGCCTCCTGGGTTCAGTACTGAATCCCAAGTTCCAGATTTGTGGGCTTCGGCCTGCAGAAGCTCCCCAGGCCTTGTGGTCCGTGCCTCCTGCCACTGGCTCCCTCACCAGGAAGGTCGACCGCTTTGGCCCCCAGCCAAGCTCTCTGCTCAACGTCCATCCGAGGAGGCCAAAACCAAGTGGGATGCTTGAGCCACATTTGAATGGGGGGTAATCTCGGGGCAGGCCGGCCCTCATGGGGATGAAAGCTGAGCCGACTCAGTGTCCCCACAGCTGTGCAGCTAGGCTCAGCTCCCTCGCTGGCAGACAGAGAGAGCGTGGGGACCCCTCCCTTCAGAGACAAGGCAGAGCCATTCTCCCCGACCCAGGGGACCGAGGGCACTTCCCCAGGACCAAGTAAGAAGGGCTGTGCCCTCTGCCCGCCAGGGAGCTCCTCAAGGCTGACCCTCCTGGGGTTCTGAGGGCCAGGACCCCGGTCTGAGATGCTGGGAGTCACTGCCAGCACACCACCACTGCTGAGGTCAAGGGCATCCACAGCCACAGGAGGGTGTTTCCTTGGACACGCCCAGCCCCAGACTGTCCGTCTGAAAACAAGAGGGACTCGTGTACACCTGACAGCCCGCCCACCCTCGGTCCCACAGGGGCCTGGAAACTGGCCGCAGGGGCTACGTCCTGCCCAAACCGCCTTCCACTGGTCTTGTCCCAAGGCAAAGGCGATGTCCTCTGAGGCCTGCGTCTGGGTGAACCCCAGCTCTGGATGCTGCTACCCCACGCTGCGGCCCCCACCCCACCCCACCCCCAGTTTTTATACTAGGCTCCTTGCCACTGTGACAGCCCATGACATAGTCTGATGCACGATAAAATGATTATTTCTTTATCTTGTAATTGTGCCCGTGACTTTTTTTGTAGAAGAGAGGGAAGAGACTCGGGGAAAGGCACAGGGAAAGCAGGTGAATAGCAGCAACAGCGGGACCCCCGCTGCCTTGCTTCTTCTCAACAACTCGTTTGCAGGGGAAGAAGGACCCACTTGAATGTGGTCTGAGACGCCACCATGACCACTCAGGAGCTGTGTGTGTCTCACTGAGCCACAAGCAGGTTACCCTGGGCCCGAATGAGGTGAGCGGACCTCGGGGGGTGCGACACAGGAGGGGCACAGCAGAAGAGACTGCGGCTCCTGTCCGAGGCCTGTGGCCAGAGGTCAGTGCTAGGGTTAGGACCCGGTCAGAATGAGTCTGGGTGGACAAGTTCAAGTCACTCAAGTCAAAGCTACAGCTGATGGAGCTCCCTGCTACGGAGAGACCCAGGGCGGCTTCTCGGGAGCCTTCCCCCTGGCTGGGCGACATCCTCACCCTTACCCCACCCCCGCGGCAGCAGAGCCACAACAGCAGGGGGCAGTTGGCAGTCACACACTTGGCTTTCTAAAAGCCAGCAGGTGCGAGTGCAGGCGTGGGTGTGCGTGTGAAGAAAGGAGGGGCGCTGGAGACCGAGGATGGGCGGGGCTCAGGTGAGGGTGCATGGAAAGGACCCCTTCATCTTCACATGAGGGCCAAGGCAGAGGAAGGGACGGGCAACGCAGAAGGTCCCGAGGGCAGGGCCAAGGAGTGACAGTGCTCCTGCCCGCGCCCCCTGTTTTCTGGAACCGAGATAAGGTCCCAGGCTCTGCAGTCAGAGGGACCTGGACTGAACCCAGCGCTGCTACTTCCTCTCTAGGCGGGGACTTAGATAACTCTCTCCTCTCTAGGAGGGGCTCTCAGCTACTCCCTGCCCGCCCCCGTCACACACCTCACACGGGGAGGACGTTCCATATGCTAATGTATGCAAAACTCAGCACGAGGCTCCCTGTTCAGGGATGCAGGAGGCAGGTAAGGCAGTTACAAGAAACAGGGAGCCAGAGCAGGAAAGCAGAGTGGAACCGGTCAGGGGCTGAGGCAGGCGGCCCCCTCCCGGGGAGCAGAAGCAGGCTTCTAAAGGAGAGTCCCAGGCAGGGACGGGGCTGGCAAGGCCTGGGCAAAGCTGCCCTGGGGACCAAATTTGGGAACCCCTCATTTACCGTGATTCTTGTGAACGACTGCCAGGGGTGAGGCCAGGGAGCAGGAATCAAGTGGGCACAAGCAGGAAGGGAATACAGCCGGCTGGGGCTCCCCCGAGGGGACGAAGCTCTGGAGCCCATCCTTGGAGGCTGCCCTCCGAGCTCAGGCTGCAGGGCCCCGAGAGGGGTGTTAAACGGAGTGATACAGCGGCCCCCCCTGCTCGGCCTCGTCCGGAGAACAGCAGCTCGTGCACGGGAAACCTGGGGAGCACCAGCAAGCCTTCAGGTCCAACAGCAGCCACGCAAGGGCCGGAGGGCACAGAACAGGCAATCAGGGGACTCGGACTAGAAACAGAGGAAGGGAAAGGCAGAGGGAGGGAGGACGGGAGGAGCAAGGGGAGAAGACACAAGGAGACGGCGAGGGCAGCGCGGACAGACCTGCGGGCAGTGGCTGCAATGCAGCGCCAGGCAGCTCCCAGTCAGACAAAGTGCCGGGCTTCAGGAGAAAAGTGTCTGATCGGGGGTGGGAGGGTGGGAGCAGCAGTAGGGGGAGGGGTGTGCAGAGCGTGGCCCGGCCTAGCCCAGGCAATGACTTCATAGGCATCTGCTCCCATTCCTTCCTGAGCCGCCGGTCCTGGTGACCCCCTGCCCGGATCTCAAGGGTCTAGGCCAAGCAGGCGCTGACAGGGGAGAAAGGGGGCCCTTCTGGGCCAGGCCCCCAAGCCTGGCACGGTGCCTGCCAGGGGGAGGAGGGCCCAGAGGCCAGCCCTTGTCAGCATCCCGGCCGGCACTTCGGAGGCAATTAGCAGTCCAGCTGAGCTAATCCCCCGCCTGGCGAGGCCAACACAAACAGGCCCAGGCCGGGTGCACACTCGCCTCCCTGTTTGCTGAGGGGCCCAGTGGTCCGCCAAGAACAACACCAATAACCCAGGGCCTTCTCTGGGTTAAGAGGAGGACTCAGGCCTGCTGAAGAGCGGACAGTGCCCGGCAGAGCACACTCTGGCCAGGTGCCCTGGCGGCCCCAGAAAGGCAGCCACTGTTTCCAAGCCGTGGGCCAGGCGGGAAGAGGAAGCCGGACACAGGAGCCGTATTTTCTGATTCAGCACACACACACACCCCCATCCTGACCCACGCCACCTGCGAGGGAGCAGGGCCCAGCCCACACTTGTGCCACCTGGGCCAGTGCAACAACTGAGACCAGGAGGGGACAGGCCCTCTGGTCAGGCGCTCCCGGCCCAGGAAGGGACGAGACCACGAGTCTGGCCTTGGAGCAGGACCAGGCTCCAGCCCATCGGCAGCATCCCTGCACCTAGAAAGGCTGATGTGGAACCCGCAAGTTAGAGGAGGCTACGGGTGACCCAGGAGGAGAAACAAAGGGAGGCTCAGAGACTGCTGCCGGGGGAGACAGTGCGCAGGGCGGCAGGACTCCCAGGCCACGCTCTGCTGTGCGCTGCTCCTGCACCAGAAGTGGCTGCCCTGGGTTTCATTAGCTCAACCAGCAGCCACGGGAGAGCTCAGCTTAAGCAGACCCGAGCCCTCTTGCTCAGAGATGGATTCTAGACTGGGAGGCAGCATCTCCTCTTGGAACCAACCCCTCTACCCTCAATGTGGTTCCTCTCCCACCCAGGGGCCCTCTCTTCCCCTCACCCCCGAGTCCTCCCAGGCCTCCTGTCAGGAACATCAGGAACTGGCTTCCTTGGAAGATGACACCGCGACCTCCCAGTCGGGCTGGGTCCCCGGGACATGGCACCACGCTGGTCGCCAGTACTCAACATCACGCCCTTCGTGAACCCAGCAGCCAGGGCCAGTCCCGCACCCCCACAGCCCTGGCCAGCACTACTTCAGGTCCCACATGCAGATGAGAGCTGCGCGTGAGCACACACTTCCTGCTGTGTAGACCAGCCCAAAGGCAGCTGTGTGACTTATCCCCCCTTCCCAGATGAGACTGAGGCTCACCGCGGGGAAAACACTCGCCCAAGCCCAGAGCCCAGTCGGACGCACCGCCTCGCCATTTCCCTCACTCTCCGCTGGCTGGCGCTCTGACGGGTCCTGGCCACAGGTCCCCACCTCCCCACCAGGCGGTATCAGCTGCCTCTCGTGAGGCTGGGCAGAACTCTGCCCCTGTGCTAGAGACCTGCACCCCACTCTCCAGCCGGCCTCCTCTACAGGGCACCCTCAGGACGGCAGCTGGGCCAGGACACTTCAGGCCCAGCGGGGCTGTCGGCCCACCCCAAGCCCCCCAGGGGCTGCTCCCACACCTGGCTTAGAACATCGAGCCCGCCCAAGGTACAGACGAGCTGTTGAGTCCTTTTCCCCTTCAGTTCAGCCAGACAGGGAGGAATTTTTCAAAAAGCTCTTCTACGAGGACACTGAAGGAAAACAAACACACAGAAACAAGCAGACTTTAACCAGCACCCAGCCAGCTCCCAACACATGCTGCTCCCAGGGCTGCTCAGCGGCGCGGCCAGGGGTCACGGGCCAGCATCCTGGCTCCCACCTCGCGAGCGAGGGAAAACATGCTTTGGGCTGGGGTGGTGCTGAGGTCCCGGGCTGATCAGGTTTAGATGACACTACAATTTGCAGGGTCTCTCTCCTTGGAGTCTCCCCGTCCCTCCTCCTCTCCCTCCTGCCAGCACCTCCTGCAGCCTGGGCCTCCTCCCCCACCTCCTTGGAGAGCAGCTGCAGCCACCTGGGAAACTTCAACAATGGCTAATGGCTATCACAGCCAGGACAGGGCAAGCGGCTGCCCCTCAGATTCACCACGGGGCTGGACTGCATCCCGAAGTGACCAAAAGGGCTGCTGCTATGAATTCCTACTGCTCCAACCGTGAGCAAACCAAGCTGAGAAGGAGCAGCCCAGCGATCCAAACGAGCAGGGGCTGAGGAGGGGACCGCAGACCTGCTCTTCAGAAGGAGGAACGTGCCAGTGTGTGGGACGAGCCCCAGAGCTGAAGCTGCACGGACGCAGGCCACGCCTCACCAGCTGACCACAGGCGAGTTCACCCCTGGAGTTCTCAGCTGCCACCATCTGCTGTTGCAAAGGTCCATGTGCTAACTGAACCATAGTGCCGGTGGGTGTCCAGTAAACAGTGCCCTGTCCCACTCCCTTCACGTCTTTCTGGGGTCTCCTCCTCCAGCCACCCCAACCTCTCGGAACCTGGGACACACTCAGTGTGGCAGATGGTCCTGGTCCCCAACAGCTCAGGTGCCCATGCTCAACCACAGCGTGCCCCAGCTGACAGCAGGACCCCAGCCCGTGGAGGACAAGGCAGGGCCCTGGCCGATATCCACTCAAGGGTCAGAGCCCCACACAGGTCGCCCAGCAGAGGCACTGCTCGTGAGCCAGCAAGAGGTCCTCCACCTCTAACCTAGGTCCCTCCCCTTGAGAGACAAAACTCCTGCCTTGATAATTCTGACATTCCAAAATAAATCTTATGACCAAAAACAGATCAGAGCAACAGCGATTTAAAAACAAGCATTTGGGTTTGTACATACCACGTGTCCACCGATCAGTGGGTTCCTCCCCAGGGCGAGGGGTGTGGTAGAAACCTCTGGTGTCCCATCATCCCAACTCCCCTACTTGCCCACTCTGAACCTTGAACAACTCACTTAACCTGCCTCCCTGGGCAGAAACTGGCACTGAGTGGGTGTGAAGAAAAGCAGGCAAAGCACTCGCCTGCCCCTGTCACCGGCTGTGACTACTCCTGTTAACCTCAGGGACAGTCCTGCCGCTACCCCGGTCCTGGGAGCGTGTGCTGGGAGAGGCTGCAGATGTCAGAGGACACGCGCTCCTCACTGTGGTTTGTATCCCCTCAACTGCGAGCCCCTCCGGGTGGGATCGGCAACCT